GACTGTGGATCCTCTCTTTTCGCCCGCTCCACCCCCTACCATACCCCTACCCCCACCACCTATCCCCACCCCCTCCACATTGCAGCAGCAACAGCAACAGCAGCAACAGCAGCAGCAGCAGAATTCTCATATTGCCATAGTTGGCTTTCTTCTTCTTTTACTGCCGAAAAAGTTTTATACATAAGCGGAAGCTTACGGGGGAAAAAAGGCCCCCCCCCCAACACACACCCAACCCCTTCCACGGGAAATCCTACTGTTCGCCCCCCTCGGAAAATGACAGAACCAGAAGGAGCCAGGGCTCATTACAAAATCAATAAATTCATTTTTCAACCAACTATATACTTTTTTTCGTGACATTTTTAATTTAGTTGTGGACATGCAAACTAATTGATAATGCTAAAGTACGAAGCCTTTGCTTTAAATTAAAGTTGCGTGGCCTTCTTGCCTTGCTTAATCGATTTTTTCAGAGCCCAGCGAAGCCAAAGTTAAAACCCAACACAGTCACCTCCCCCTCAATCCAAAAGGGAGCCATAAAAAATATATATCCGTAAATATATATATATATATATATGTATAAAAACAACAGAAAAGACAGGAGAATTTCCTGAAAAAAAGAGGAGGCAAGTGGGAAGTAAAACGCGCAGAGGTGGAAAGTTTGGAGAAAAAAAATGAAGAACCAAACAATAAACGAATTCCTTTGGCTGAACAGGTTTTTGCCTCTCTGACCCTTTTTCCTTTAGTTTTTTCCCCCGATTTTTTTCAAGTCGCCAGGGTAAGTTCAATAGAATCCTTTGACTTGTGAAAAATGTGGAAAATAAATTGTTTATCTGATAAAAAAAAGGCGCGATGTTCATTTTAAAGCAACTTAAAGATGGATTGTTCTTTATATTAATTGCTTAAGAAGTGGTTGGAAGGTTAGTTTTGTACTTATTTATTTAGTTTTGCTTTAAATTGATCTCATTTATATTGTTTTGTATACTTTAAGAGTGATGCTCTTAACCCTTCAAGAAAAAGCGCTAAAGATACAGACATGTCAGTGTTTCTTTTATTATTTGCTTAACTTTGCTCTCGTATTTAAGGCTCTACGGCTAGATTATATTGTAAAGTTACCCTACTAAAAATCCCAAATCTTTAAAATCTTTTAATTACCTTAACCCACTGACAGCAAAACCACGACCAAGACTTTCGATATTTTCAAAATCTGCTGTTATCGTTATCGCCATCAGTATATCGCACTTGAATATGCTGGCAGCTACTTTGATTCATTGTTCATCGGCTGCGCTTTGCTATTTGCTGGTGGGCTTTTGTTTTGTTGTGCCTAGTTGTCAACGAGAGTTTAGTTTTGGTGCATCGGCTTGGGCTTATATAGGTACTGCAGAGTACCCTCTATCCCCCCTCTCTATCAGAAACAACAATGCTGCGGACGCTGGTGCTGTTGCTGCTGCTGCTGCATGCAACTATTGAAGCATGAACATGCAATTTATGTACCTATGTGCATATATACTACACCTACCAACTATGAAATACAGCTGCAGCAGCAACAGCAACAAAAGCAATAAGCGACTGTACTTTTGATATAAAATCCACTTCACTCCCCTTCACTACACTCCCCTCCACCGTCCCCCTCCCCCCCTTACCATACATACATGGCAAAACGAAAACAGTGTGTACATATACAGCACAGCATTGCACCTCCCCCTTTTCAGAGCCACCCACTTGGAGTGGAAAGCTCTGTTTAGTTTTAGTTGCGCTTTAAACTGCATTTCGGCTTGTAAGCTGTACATAGGATTGCATGGGTGGAACGAAAGAGGGGGTTTGAAGGAGGGAGGGGGTTAGTAGTTGCTAGTGAGTGCACTGTAGTGCTATATGTAAGTGTGATTTCAACAATTCGCATTTGTGCAGCAAACGAAATAGAAAACAACTGCAATATGTGAGGAAGGCCCATGGATTGAATACGGAATTGGCAGAAACAGTCCACCAGATGCTCCCCCCCCCAAACTGAAAATCAGGGGGGATTACCACCCAGAACTACAGCCCATTCCAATTGTCATCTGGGATCGAAGCCACTATAGTGTAGAGATTATTTTGTTTTGGGGAAAATGTTTATAAATGTTTGTTAGAAACAAAATTTGATATTCAATTCTTTTAAATCTATAAAGTAACAGCACTTCAAATTTATATATAAAACTATTCAGTTTCGACATTAGAATCCCTTTAAATCGTTTCCTATTTAAACATTTATGATTTAGATTCCTAATATAAATTTAATTTTAAATTTAAAGTATCTTTTATGGATAAGTGTTACTCCTCTTGAACTTTCGACCCCTTTGACTTAAGCTCATAAAATTTGGGTTATAAAGGGATATCGATAACAACGCATTGTGGAAAGGGGCACAATAATGAAGGGAAGGGGGGATACATAAGAGGAGCTGTAGAGAGAGGCAGAGGGGAGAAAGAGAGAGAGGAGACCCAACCATATGCGCTGCTTTTACGCATGCAACACACCAATAACGTTGCTGTCGACTTTTTGTTGCTCCACTTGCACAAACAAAAACGCACGAAAAGACGAAAAGAGAATTTCGGCTATCGAAAATACACAAACACACACACACACACACCTACAAACTCACCTGCAAAAGCAGGTAAAACTTATGCCTGTATAAGTGTCTATATGGAGCTAACACAGCAACAGAGGTAGCGATAAATCTAGAACCGGGCATTCTACTTCCAAATGGATTGTATTATATCACTTTATTTACTTAACTAAAATAATATATAATATAATCAATAAACATATACATATGTAAACTTAATGCAAACAACTAATCGTGGAATTTTCCTTCACTTTATAACTTTTGTCTTAAAATATAAATTGATTGCATACCAAAGTTATGGTATTAGATAAACATTTAACAAGGAGAATCAGAAGTAAAGTAAAGATCTTTGTAACCCGACTAATTTAAAATACCTATAATTATCAACAAATTCAACTCATTTCCTTTGTAATGCATCTCAAACTCTAACTAATACCCCAACAACTACTAGTTCAACAATTTTACAACAACAAACACCAAAGCTCAATAACTCAGAGGCACAATTACAACAACAATAACGGTAACTACAACAACTATAAGCTTTGGCAGCTAGAAATGCGGGTCTGGGTCGTGAAATCGAGACCAAAAAAAGAGAGCGTACAGTACAGAGTTGAGAGGAGACGTGCTGAGAGGAGGCAAAACGAAACGAAACGAAACGAGACGTCGAGAATGCAGCGCACATAAAGAATGCCAAAATAAGTTTAAAACTAACGACGAGCCGGGTTTTAGTGCGTGCAAGTGAGAAAGAGAGAGACCGAGTGGAAAAGAGCTCGCTCTTCAGCAAGGTGGTTTATGCATGTGTGTGTGTGTGTGTGTGTGCTTGTATTTTGGAACATGCAACTTTGCCAAAATGCGTAAAAGGGGAAGAGGAAGATAGTGAGAGAGGAAGGGGGGCGGGCCCCCACCCCACCGAAAAAAGAGAGCCGCCTGGGAGAGAGTAAGAGAGAGAGAGCGAGCGAACAAGTGCAGTACACATAAAGTGAAATCCGTAAAAAGAAAACCCCCTACCATTTACATTAAATCACTTAATTTCAAATTGTTCTTAGAATATGTATGTTTTTCTACTATTTTAATGATATGTAAATGGCTTCTGTAAGAACTGCAATCTAAATAATGAGTCCTAGAATTCCTTACAAACCCACTATAACAAGTGTTTACTGTATATGTAGCTGTACTAAGTGCGAGTGTGTGTGGGGTCATTCTCAAAAATAACAAGTGTTGCAAAGCGCAAAAAGTGCGTAAAGGTAATTAGTGAAAAAAAAGCAATCAAAATCAAACTTATGTTTGGGCAGGGAAAGTTCATTAACACACTTAGCATATTAAAACCAGCCACAACTCATTCATAACCGCAGCAAAGTGTGTGTGTGTATAGATAACGGAACAAACGCGACAACCCCTCAGTAAAAAAAAAGAGGAAAAACAAAAACCGTGGCAACCCAGTCAACCGACAATCCAACAAGAAGAACATGAAGAAGAAAAAGTAGCAGCTGAAACAAGCGCCTAAGCATGGCGTCACAACAAAAGCAACAACAACAAATAAAGGCTGTAAAAATTGTCAATATAGAAGAAAGAAAAGAAGCAACAACAACAACAAAACCAAGCAGCAGCAGCAGCAGGCTTTTGAGCTTTGCGAAATAATGCGCGAGAGTTAAAGAAGAAGCCGCCAACGTTGGCTGCGACGCTGGCAGAGCATTTTTAACGAGCCGAATGACAAGCGCGCACAAACACACAAATGTATGCATACAAAACAGTCGAGAGCGGTGCATTAGGGTTAAGAATTTATTTACTTAGCAAAGGAAAATATTCTTTTTTGTAATTTAAAGCAAGTTTGAATATTAAATAAAAAACATTTTAATTATTGGTTTCGATCGGCTGTTGATCTGTTTCAAATAACTTTAATGTTGTCCAAGATCAGTTATTAAAGGTGACAAATGATTCCATTTAGGGATACTATTTTAAGGGTTTATTTGTAACAATAATCAAACAGTCAGCTAGATAATTATTATAAGAACACTTTTCCTATTTCACAGCCTTAAACAATTTCAAGTTCAAATTGCAGATACATTTATAGGTATTGTTTGCTTCTATTCAACTTTCCCCCGGTGTGCATACAGACGCACACGCGGACACACACACACACAGATGGACGACATGCATACGAGACGCCGCAGCAGCAGACCGGTTGAGGTTAAATTGGATAGTGAGCGAGCGGGTGATGGCGAGGGAACGAGATGGAGAGGGCGACGAGACGGGAGGAAAGAGATGGAGATAGAGATGGAGCTGCTCTCGCATACATATTGAATTTTTCTTTTTTTCCCTTTTGTCGTAATGAAAATTTTAGCACTGTTTTGGGGCAACAAAAACGCTAAGAAGATGAGCGAAACGAGACGGAGATAAAAAACTTACCCGCGTGGAGAGAAGAAAAAGGTATGGAAATCCGTTAATCGGCGCCTCTGCCACTGCCGTGCTGCTTCTGCCGCTGCGAACTCCTTGTCGATTTTCCGAATTTCGCATGCACAAAAGATTAACTATTTCGATTTCACTTTTCCGATTTGCGCTAAATTATACTTCGCTTATTTATATACAACACATGCACTTATGCTTTCGTATATATATATTTATATATTATACGCTTATTTATCGCCTGTATGTGCGTCACACCAATACACTTGCACCGCGCGCTCTGCTGACGTCGACGCCGCTGCTTTCGGCGGCTTTCCAAACGATTTTGTTTTCCACGCACTAAAGACCCGATTGTAAATACGTAAATGTATTCCTTTTATATTTGAATATATTGCACGCCTTGTGAACTTTATTTTTGCCTTTTTCTCAACTTTAATCGCAATTTGTTTACTATTTCGAAGCGAGAGTGTGTCCGACAGATAGAGAGAGAGGGGGACACACACACACGCACAGACATACACACACACGCAGCTTATTGTAATTCACTCGTGTGTTGCGGCGGCATAACTTCTTATTCCAGGATTTGTTTAGTAAATAAATACCACGCGCTGGGATCCCTCGAATCTTCGAATCAAGATGCAATCACTCGAAGTCTCGAAAATTAATTGCAATTTTTACCGCACTAACACGCACACTGACACTGGCGCGAAGCACGTCCGTACGATCCGAGAGAGAGAAAACGAATGAGATGTGAGAGGGAATACCGGAGGAGAGCATTCGATTGTTTTTGTTTGCCTTGCAGTTGCAGTGTGACCGTTGAGGAGCACTACCTTTAGCTAGTTTAATTCAAAATTGGCATAACAGAGTAATAAAAGCCAAGGAAATGCGTTGGGTATATCCCATTTTACTAAATGACTCAATTTTAAAATTTAAAGCCGGTATATTGTGCTGCGAAATCTGTGCCAGGGCAGTTAAATAATCGATAGGCGATAGCTGAGCTACAAAATAGCTATAGTCGCTTGAATTTAGCTTGAAAATGGATAGATTGATCGAGTTTTTCGCCAACGTTTGTGTTTTCGATTACTCACTTACCGCCGTAAACACTCACCTCTAACAACTCAGGTGGTGATTCGAAATTCGAATTCGACGGTTTAAATTATTTTCAAATTTAAATTGTAGGCAAAACGGTTGCTTGTAGTTACGCAAATTACTCTTTATTTATATTATTGCATAGTGGTAATTTGTTTAAAAATTGTTAAACATACACTACAAAACATATTCCGAATAAAATTTATAAAATATAAGGAAAACCTTTTAAACCTTGTTCAATTTCACAAAGTTTTCTGCCTGATGTTTAATATATGATTTCCTGCAATCCATGTCATCGGCTGGACGATTGTGTGGCGTCCAGACAGGCTCCCCAACAAAATAGCGCCGGGCTCTGATAAAGTTCTAAATAGTGGCGAAATTTAAAAGTTAAAAAAAAATTGTTATAGAAATATATAAGAAAAGGAGTTGCTTACGTTGGAATCCAAAGTAAAACGATGATAGATACCAGCGGGAATAATAATAAGATCTCCTTTAACCACCTGTATGCGCAGCCAGTTCTCTTCGTTACTTTAAAGTATGAGAGAGTTTTTATATAAAACAATTTGTTAATTTAAATTTAAATAACTACTTTGAAAGTCAGAACTTACTCTCTAACATCAAAGTAACCGGATCCATCCAAGACCAAACGTATTTCCTCATCCGTGTGCAGGTGTTCGGTAAAGAAAGCCTTCAGCTTGTTGGCATAGTCGGCCAGGCACTTTTCCGAGCACGTAATCTATAGTAGTGATTAGAAATTAGTAAAGCGGCTCCTAAAGCTCCCATCTTTATCCGATCTTGCCTCATCATCATAGGTATATCCGCGCTTCGCCCTCAGTTCCGTAAGAGTCTCATCGCTCTGGTACGCGTCTGCATTGATCTGCAAGAAAGCAAAAGCAAGTGATCGAGATAAGCTCGCTCGATAAGCCAAGGTCAAAAGTTTAACGACGTAGTTTCGAACTATTCCACTTGCCTTGAAGTACTCCACGCCGGTTTTCTTGTACAGATCAGCCAGTTCCACGTAGGATGGAGGATTCCGATGGTGCTCCAAGCGCTGATCCGTTTCCTCGTTGTCCATAAGCCAGACTTTCACCATTTTTAGACAATTTTTAACCAAGTTTAACGAGAAACTAAATTGATCTCACAGTCGCCGTCAGCTGTTCCTCTCCGAATGAATGTCGAATTTCGAACTCGAAAATCGATAACTGAAATTCTAATTCGAAGTCTAACGATATTTATCGGGTTTGAAATTTATATAAGGCGCTGCAACAATATATTTAATATGGATATAAATAATATTAGGAATTAATGCATTTTACAGATGCTAGTATAAAAGGTGTGAATTATTGACTCAATTTAAAATAATTTGTGCAGCATAAAAACACAAATATAATGAATTATTTTAAAACTTTTAATTTCCGAATTGTTATTATTATTATATTATACATTTTTTTATAAGTAAACATAAGTCAAAACAATTATTTAAAAATATTCCGAATTAATTAAATTGTTTTTTTTTTATGCTAAATAAAACAGGTTTATATTACGTTTTTACTATTATCTTTTTATTTTTAAGGATTAACACCCAATTTAAACTTTTATACTTTTTGGGCAGTTTTGTTTACGGTAAATGTTAGTAGCAGGTACTAACCATAGTTTGCTAGTACATGAAAATGCATCGCTTCAGCTGCTGGTTGTATTTTACATTTATTTGTTGCGGTACAAAAAGGGCTCTGGCTTATTACGCCGTCAGCTTGGCCAGCTCCTCGCGCAGCTCGGCAGTGTCGATGGCTCCCTTGGACTGGGGCTGGGTCTGCGACTGCGACTGGGACTGGGCCAGCAGGCGGGCGCAGCTCTTCTTGTGCATAAACCAGTGAAGACGCTGGCACTCGCGGTCACAATACTGCACCGCCTTGCACTTGGAGCACTTCTTGTCCGGCTTTTCAGCGCCGCAGGTGCTGCAGTAGCTGGCCTCGTCCTGAAAGACAAATAGTTATTATTATATCTAAACTCAATGGTAAGATGACAAAACCCACCACAAAACCCCTCATTCCATTGATGGCGTTGCGCAGGATGGTCAGTGCTGGCGGTGCATCCTTGGAGCCCAGCTGCAAGGCTATCTGCCGGAAGATGGTGCACTCGCGCACAGGGAACTCACGGGCGCACTCCCGCAGCGTGTACTCCACGTAGTCCAGCTGGCCCAGCTTGTTCTCCTTGAGCACCCGCTTCACAAACATCTCCAGGAAGTCGCTCTTATTGGCCTCCGCCGTCTCCTTGTGCTGGGCCTTGAACTGCTCCTCGCAGCGGATAAGCTCGGCCAAAATCCAGCCCTGATAGTGGAACTTGAAAGCCAGCAGTTCGTTGGTATCGTGCGACTTTTGCATCTCCTTTTCGCACATCAACGCCAAAGTCTTGCGCAGGTTGCCAAGGATTCGGAGAAGTCCCAGCGACTGGACATTCAAGGCAATGCGAACGGGATGCAGGTTGATCTCGGTGACGAAGGCGTGGAAGGATTGTAGCAAGCTGGGCGGTATCTGGGGCTCCGTCTGTTGACCGTGCAGCTGTGTGTAGTACTCCAGACTCGAGCTGGTCACATAATTATTGATGGTCTCCACGCAGGCAAAATTTCCCACAAAAGCTGCCATTTGGGCGGCCGTTCGCTGGACACTGTTAATGGCACCCGGCCGGATGCCGGCGTCCAAGAGCTGACGGCACACGTGTGCGTTACCGGACAAGGCGGCAAAGTGCAGAGGCGTGTAGTCGGCGCCGTGCTGGTTCAGGTTTATGTCGGCGCCCTGTAGAAGCAAATAAGAGCTATAAGGATCTCTGGGATATGGGGTATAGTGTACATACCATGTCCAGGAGCAGCTGCACTGCCTCGCGGTTCCCCTTAAAGCTGGCGTGCGCCAGGCAAGACATCCCATTGTCGTCCACGAAATTTATGTTGCGACAGCCCACCAGGAGCTGCTTGAATCCGCTGGTGTCTGCTTTGGCCAGGCGATCCAGCAGCTGCCGCTGCACCTCGTCCAGCTGCGAGTTCTTGTTCTCCTCGGTCATCTTGGTCCAGATGGCTTTGACGGGGTTGCTTTTAAAGGATTTTTCTTTCCGGAAAATGGAAAAACAAGTCCAACCGTTTTTCGGCGTGCACGGTAGAGATGGGAAGACCTACAATAGTATCGATTACCTACGTAATGTATCCGATGCGATAGGTAATATTTAACATACTACATATATTTAAGTAATACATTTTTATTAAGATGTCATTATTAATTGTTAACATTTAACATATGCATTTTGAGAATTTATTATTGGACTTTATAAATCAAAATTAAAGAGCAAAGTGCAGTTTTACAAAATACTTTAAAATATATGTATTTTACATGACAAAAGAGTAATTTATTATGATTATCACCCGCCGCAAGAGGTGTGCAAGGAAAAACATCGAACCCGGCAACCTACAATCGATACTGGGCGAAATATCTAGGTATCGATACACCTATCGATGGTTCCCCGCCTCTAGCAGCTGCACTCTGTTGTCATTCTTACATTTTGGCTTCACCTCTATCTTTGATTGGCACTAGGATGTGCAACAACATCGATGTTCTGAAACGATAGTATCGATAGTTTGTTACCAGAAACAGCTGGCTTCGATGTCAGTGTAACCGTTTTTGCGTCTTTTTCTTAACTCTCTTTGGTCACACTGGCGAAATAGTACCAAGCGTGAAAAGTTATTTTTTTGTTGTTGTTTTGTTACCGTCGCGTCGAGTCGGCTCGCGTCCGTGTGATTTGTGATTTTACAACAGAATAAGCATTTAACCCCCGCGAGGTGCCAACAATGTTTACAACCCCTTGAATAAAATAAAAAAATTCTCAAATCAAACCAACAAAAAGCGGAAGAATAAGGTGATAAGCGCGGTGCGAGAAGTGAAGAAAGAAATTCCAATGCAGACGAACCCTTCGTCGTTGGGAAATGTATAAATTATAAAAAAGTGCAGATAAGCGCGCAAATTGATGAAGGAGGAGGTGCAGAGAACGAAAGAGCGAGAAACGGAGTGACAGATAACGAAAAAAGCAGATAAACAAAACTCACATACAAACACACACACACAAAGCAACAATTCTGAGTGCCGTTTTTTAATTTTTTGCAATGTGTTTCCATGGTGCAGGCAGGGGTGCGGTGGCCTCCAAAAATGTTTACATGTGCTCGCTCGGTCAGCAGGAAAATAGAATATTGCCTTTTCCTACTTAACACGATGTGTGAAAATTGGCTAGGCCGTTTTCCGTTTTCTTCTTTTTTTTTTTTGTTGTTTTTGTTTACCAATTTCGATAAGTTTTGGTTTCGGTTTCCTGCGAAACACACACACATACATTCTCAATGAAAATGGCAGGGGGATTGCGCGTGTGAGGGAGACAGACTCTATTGTGCTCTTTTCTTCGCCACTGTTCTCCTGCTCCTTTTCCATGCTGCTGCTCTTCACCCCCCGCAGTGCAATTTCTGATTCCCTGCGGAGGAGAGCCGAAAATAATACAGTAAATATTGGATAATAGGAGATCAAGCGTGGAAAATCGCACAATGGAACTGTTTCTTACATATTTCCTGGAAACTCTATGTTGCTTTGTGTGTTTTTTTAAGTTTCTTATCTTGGGAAATGGAGTAAAAACAGTTAAAGATGGTTTATAGCAAAAAATAACTTCTTAAAATTGGGCTTTCATGTCAGAATTCTTTAACTTAAAAAATATGTGCTAATTTATAAATTTAAATTATTAAAATCAAAGAAATATCTTTAAATTAAACACACATTTAATATATTATTTTTCTATGAACTAAATTTCTGTAAATGCTAGACTTTTCTTTTATGCAAAACCATCTGTTGTATTATTTCCACAGGGGCGGAAATATTTGTCAGGCTTCTGTTATTGTTTTCACCGCTTTTCCTACCCCTGCGATCTCCACTTTCCGCCAGTGTCCTTTGAAGATGAAACAAGTTTCTGTGAATGCAGCTTCCCCAATTAAATACAAACCCTAAATACTTTTGCAGCTGCTTTTTGGGAAAATAAAATAAAGCCTCTTTATGTGACAACAGGTGCAACAGCTGCCGCCAGTGCATATTTCTAATTTTTCCAACCCCTTACAGTGCTACAAGAAAATAATAAAATTAAAAATCGAAAAAGTGCTAATTAATAACCGAGAAAGAGATATAAGAAAATCTATAAAGCCACACGATAAACCATAAGTTAATCAAGGAAAATGGGAAAGCTGCTGAGCCTGCTGTCACGCGACGACTCCAATTGTTGCGCGGCCAAATCCTACGATGTCTTCCTGGACTTTGAGAATGCCGCGCCCACGGAAACGGAGCGGGAGATCTACGACGAGGTGGAGCGCGTTCTCCGTGAATCGGAGGTGGTGCTGGAGGAGATACAGATCTATCGGGTGAGTGTGTCTTTCGTCTCCTCTCTCCCGCTCTCTCCCCCTTAGCAGTGCGTCATTACGTTGGGGATTAACCGCAGTTTAACTAACCGGTTATTAGGCATTTAATAATGAATTCTATAGTTTAAAACAACTATCTTATGTGTGACAAATTGGACTTATTGAGGTGTCTTTCTTACGTTGTTTATTATTTTTTTTTGCAAGATAAATGCTAGATATTGATAATTCTAGGGTTTTTTATTAATTATTTTATAGAATTATTGGATGGTTATTCAGAAAATTAATAGATTTCTTTTTCTCTTTATAATTTATATGTATTATTTGAATATTTTACATTTTATCAGTATATTTCCTTTGTAAATTTAATTTTTTTGATATTTAAAAAGTAATAGATATTTACCTTTATCTCTATTTGTTTTTATTTATTCCTTGAAAGCGTTTCATAAATGTATAAGAAAGTGTATAAAACTGTTAATTTCAACAGCTTGCTAAAAATAACAACAATTGCCGGGAAATCGAGAGCAACAAAAAACAAAAGCAGGAACAATAAACGAGCAACAAATTGAGTATTTAACCTTTGGCAGTTTGAGAGCAGAGAGCTGGTTGTTATCTTGTTGAAAACATTTATGGGATGCTCTCAAGAAATTGCTTTGGGTGAGCTTACAGAGTTCCCAGTAAAATATGGATCTGGAAAAATAACTAAAATATTTTTATAATATTTTGTATAATATTAGTAACAACAGCTCTTAAATTATTACTCATTGATAAACAACGAATGATCTTACACACGCCTTGTCTAAGAAGAACCCTCTTTAAAGTTGATTTTTTACACAGTAATATGGGATTCTAAGAAACCAACTTTAAGGGTTACCATTATAAACTAATAGACTTTAAATAGCTGGCGCTGAAGATAAGATTAACTGCTGTGAAAATGAGTGTCACTGGCAAACATAAACCTTATCCCTATTTTCTAGTTTTGGGGTCTCTCTCTCGGTTTTTCTCTTTGGGTCTCTTTTGCGGTCTGAGTCACGCACGTGCCCGCATATACATATATGATCCGATCCGATCCGATGTGGCGGACTTCTTTCATTATCATCGCTCCACTGACGTCATTAACCAAGTTTTGCCCCTGCTACTCTTCACAAGCGGTTTTTCATTCTTCGCCTCTCTTTTGGTGGAGAATTACTCACCCAGTCTACCGTTTTACACAGAAATAAATGAAGGTGTGCTTAGTACAAATAGTAATTAAAATATATAATCGGTTTAGCATTAGAAGAAAATGTTTAATTAATAAGGAGATATAATATTTATATCACAAAAAATGGTATTATATTTTAATATAATCAAGCTTTGTAAAGTAGTAATCATTTCATCAGTAATCAGTTCATTCTTTATTCGGATTTTGGTCCTATACCAACCAAAATATTGTTGCTGGGGTTGCAAATTGAATTTGATTATTAGGAAAAGTTAATGGTAATAAGACTCCATTGCTGTAATTTTCACAGCTTAAAATCTAATGAACTTAATACAGAACTTTTGAAATGCGCAAAATATTTGCGTTTCCAAATAATAGAAAATGAAGTTAACAATGTAGTTTATAATATATATTTTTTGTTTTTATATATTTTCCCATATATGTAGCTTGTGACAAAACACAGCTAGACTTGGGGGCTATATTAATTCGCAGCATTGGGTGTGTGTGCAAATTATTAATTGGGTTTCAGACGGCAAAGAGACAGGCCAAGAGTTTGGGGAAAATATAGAAAGGGGCGGCAGGCAAACACACACAAAATGTCAGGCCAAAAAAAAGAAGCTTTAATCAACGCAAATGAACTGGAAAATGTATACCAATGAGCTCATTTCCTTTGTTGTGACCCACTTAAATGGGACCAGAGACTAAATGAAACAAACCCAGGCAACAAAGGCGACCTCGATGGGCACTTAACCCTTTGGTGACTGCAACAGCAGCAACGGCAACCTTCCCTTCCATTTAGAACCAACTTAACCAGAGGTATTTAAAATGCGCTTAATTTGCGGGCTGCATTTCATTTTCATTGCAGTTTTCAGTCGCGTCTTTGAGTGAGTGGGTGGGTTGGCTTTTTGGGGCTGGAAAACTGGTTGCCAAGGCGAAAACGAAATAACCAAAAACTGGTTGTGGAGTAGGTGATTCCCAAATAAAATATATATACAGTTGGCCAGGCGCCAAAAGCTGGCAAAAATGGCAAAAAAACAAAACTTCATGTTCTGTTTTTTCACCTCTTTCTCCCCCAAGTCGGTTGCTATAAATAGAGTGAAAACTGCAAGAGAGGAAAAATCAACTATTTTTCCCTCTATTTTTGTTGCTTTTTATGTCTTGTTCTCTTTAAGTTAAGTCCTCGGGTATTGAACTGAGCTTAAAAGCACAGAGGAAAAATATAATGTTGATGTTTAAAGGTCTTAAAAATCTTTATTTTATATGACTTTTGATGGAAATAACTTGGAATAAAATGAAAAGGTTACTTAGGAATAAAGGAAAGTATTGATATTTGACTTAAAAGTCGATATATGAATCGATATCCGAACAATATAACAATGTGTTTTGAATATTTATTAGTAGTGTTGCTAAATTTGTTATGTATTAATTTATATAGCCTCAGGTTCATGTTAAAATTTTTATTTATATATTATGGAACCTAAAATAAAGCTCCATAATGATCAATTTAATTGATACTTTTCAAAACCGAATGAAAAGAAATCTTTAGACCGATTGTTCGCCATCTGTAATAGGCTTTTCAATCCGATTTATGGCCACTTGCTAGTGACGCTTTTGTCAAATATTGGCCCAGACTTAGATAAGGAATGAAAGGCGCCCCTTTGTGTTTGTATATATGTACATATATGTGTAATAAGCTAACAAACTATAGCAACAAGGTCAACAAAGGGCCGCAAATAATAATAATAGTTGAAAAAGCCACCATTCAGTGCAGCAGCAATAGCAACAATGATAATAATGATAATCACAATCACAATCACAATCACCTGAACACAAAGGAAACAACAACAATGCGACCAGAAAAAAAAGTATATCAACACACACCATGTGGGTGCTGTGGCTGTTAAAGATAAAAGTTATCGGGTTTGTGGGCCACCCGAAAGCCATCTGAAATTTGATGAACACGGCTTTTCGAATAATATTAAATTGGAGGAGTTGTGGTTTTCCACAAGAGATAACAATTACATGCAGCAGTTAGAGGGGCTAAAACATATGTCAAACACATGGAAGTAATCCAATACACAACCTTGAACTAAAGCCTGATGGAAATGAATGAATCGAGTGCGAATTTCTGTGGTTTTGCTGCTCTCTTACATAATATTAGAAATATAGATATATAAATAAGTCAGCGAGCTTCTCATTGAGCTTCAAATTGAGTCATTTAGATATCTTTGTTGGTTACAAAATGATATTTAAATCATTACGTAAATGTCACACACACAAATTGAGTCATCAAATGTTGAAGAATTTACCTTTTTTGATGTATTCTTTCACATTGAATGTGAAGAACTGAAATTCTGGCAACTTTGTAGCAAACTCTTGAATGTAAGTCTTTTTTTATGTGAACAGTTAGTTCATTTCGATAAGAAATTTGCAAAGTTTTCAAAGTTTTTCATTGTAATAAGATAAGTTGTTGGGGTTTTTATTGAAACCGATAAGTGTAAATGAGTTATTTGTTAGCCAAACTTCTTGATTAAATACTTTAAGGGAAAAACTTTAAAGGTTCTTTTATGTATATAAAATATTTTTGAAATTATTCTATCAAAATTCCATACATTTAATGTATGTCTTTTAAACCGCAGCTAATTTATCAAATTTCAAAATAACTCCCCCACCAAAGTAAACCTCGTTTTCCCACCTATACAAATGGGATGATGATTTGTCATATTTTCCCCCATTTAGGAGATATTTTCCCCTCCAAATCCGAGCAGCTGCTTTCACTCAAAAGGGGAGAAACCCTACTCCATAATGGACATAAAGGCGACCCATTTAAATAGTCTGCTCTACATATTAAAAAGCATCATGCATAAAAATATAAACATTTAGGCTTATTGTGAGGGGAGCCACACAGACAATCGGAATAATCACAGAATCGGAAAGAGCAGTCATTAGATACATATATAACCCTCTATACTCCCACCTCTTTCCCTTTTTTCCTTTTTTTAATTCCACGAATAACTTAAACGATGTGCGCGAATGCAAAATCACAAAGAGTGAATCGAGAGAGAGAGAGAAATAAAAGTCAACTTCCGGTTGGTCATTCGGTTGGTCAGCCGATATAATTGCTATATAATGTGCGTGCCGCCGATCAACATTTGAGTATTATAAAATTATACTTTATATACCTTTTGAAACCGCCCTTTCAATCTGATCTGTGTAAATGTTTTAAAAATGGTATAAAAAAGGTAGAGAAAATCCATTAAAAAAGTCATTCTAAAATAACATAACATAACATATTAAAAATAAATCAAACTACTTTTATTACAAGCTTTGAAGTATATATAATAAAAGTTTAATATCTAATTGGCAACTAAATTCATAATATACGACGTTTTACTTTCCTTAGCTGGGTTTAATGGCTTTATTAGATAAATATTTATAGCTTTCCAATGAACATAAATTTGTTTTATATTTCCCATGTCATACGTACTTTAAATACGTAGCTTCAAAGGTAGTAAATAAACTATTAAACAATAATAGTAAACGTAAATGCTATCAAGATTAGCATATTAATTTCTTTGTAAAATAATTTAAAACTTAATCAATTGCATTCATTTTAAGTTATTCATTTAAATATTTTAAACCTTATAATATTCTCTAAGTCAACTTCCTCATTTCTAATATTTTCCATAAAAGAAGCAACTCCTTAAAAGGTTCAACCAATGTTTATTTTCTTTATTTATCAAGAAATACAGTTGTAAAATCGAATTTCGTAACCTTAATAGTCCAAATTTAGCCTACAGATAAATTT